ATCATACCTTAGTTTCAGAAACAGGTATTTTTTTCTAAGCTTATCAGTAATAGTGTTCATAGAATTATTCGAGGTAAAAAGTTAAAAAGACAACTCGTCTTTTCTTGAGATTCTGCCATAAATAGATAAGACATATAGAAATAGAAAGTGAAATTCCTAGTTTGACATATTTTGGAAGAAATTATGTGATTTTTTGTATATTTCTGAAGAATATCTAAACATATTAAAGACCAAAATCAACCTCCAAAAATAGCAAACATGTCCTGTTAATAAGCTCTATATGGTACTAATAGGATGAAAATTGACATCACTGTCAACTGTTCAAACATTAGGTAGAAAGGAGTGTTATTTAGTATTCTGTCTCTATTTGTGAGAACCAGATTAATTTACTTCAACCAATAAGAATTACCTCTATATGATAATAGGTAGTTATCTAAAGCCTTATATGGTCAATATGTTCTAGAGAGATAATGAAGACTGCCATCAGTATATATAATACTAATAAGAATACTTTAATACCACTTTCTCACTGCAAAAGTAATTCAGTTTTATCCAGTTCTATCCAAATAACTTCCAGTTGCGAAGGCATATAAACTTATTCCACTGTAACTAGAAGTTATCCAGATAGAAATCTCCACAGGATTTCTTGTGGATATGAGACTGGGTTATGACGTGAATAAACACTTCAAAATGGCGTCTCCTGTAGGTGGGAACGTTATGATGCAACGTCTGCTTCACAGAATCTCCCGTTTACGTCCTGCCCTATTTTGCACCTCATTAGACAAGTGAAAATAGGCCAAGCCATTGAGTTTGAAATAAGGGGAAATTATGCACCGATTGTCAATGGATCGTTCTATGACGTATACATCACTTTTAGGAAACAGGGCCTGGGTTTATTGTCACTTTCAAATAGGTGGATTATTTCATCAACATGTTCTACAGAACTTAAGGAGAAAAGAAATATGAATACACTTACCTGATCTTTTTCTTCTTGACTTTTAGGCACAATTTTACAGTTTAATATCAAATATCCCATATACTCTGTTTTACCACGCTGTTCTGATAGTAAACACTTTACTTCTTTAGCTCTATAATTAGATTATAATATAGTAAATTACTGTTATTATAAGATTTTATATAAAACTCTAATTGTACAGAAACAAATAAAGAACAGCAACTTTTTACAAGAATTACAATTCAGCTTCTCAAAGATCTTGTCTTCCAGCTAGTCCTTGTCCAAAACTCATACCATTGATCTTTCCCGGATAATCCGTTCTCATTTACAGCTGGGTCGACTGGAATTATGAGTGAAGATGACTTATTCAAGGTCATCAGACTTCCATGCCAAGACCACAGAAATATTCTACATCACCTAGCAACTGATATCAAAATTCCAAATGTGAAAAGATGCTAAGAGATGTGTTTTACCTTGGCAAACTCAATAAAACATCAAAACACAAACTAACGAATATGAAAACCTAACAACCTCCCAGATCGATCAATAATTAAACAAGATAAATAATAACAACATAACAACAGGAGGTTGACTTCCATTATAATCAGGATATCACAAAAAACTGGCTTTGTATATCGTGAAAATTCATTAAAACTGCGGCAAAGTGGAAACATAATACCATTATCAATTGTCAACAATGGAAGCTGTTTATTACTTTTTTTACTGGGTCATGTTGCGCTTGTTTTGAGAATGGTATTTCTCTTTTTCATGCATTTTTTTATTTGTTTTATTATCAGGTGAGCAAATGTCCTACACTCATTTTTCCAGCGTGGGTATTGTCGTTTCAACGTGTCTAACAACATATTTCTACCATGTTTCACTTCAGCAGCTAAACACTAGTATTGTGGACCGAAATATCAAATATTCATGATGTCACATGATTTCAAACAGTCCAATCAACACACTTGTCGTTTCTATTTTTACGTTTTGTTTTTTCCTAACATTATAATCAGAATCTTAAGCCCTGTTCACATGAACACTTTATTTACATGATTACATATACCAACATAAGTATATTTTATATATGTGAATGGAGCTTCAGACTGAACAATCAAACTGTTAACAGTGTTAACATACTTTAATTCAAAACCATTCACCTGATAACATAAAATATTTCTCACAGCTAAAACATAATATTCCCAAACAAACCAGACAGCTAAAACATAATATTCCCAAACAAACCAGACAGCTAAAACATAATATTCCCAAACAAACCAGACAGCTAAAACATAATATACCCAAACAAACCAGACAGCTAAAACATAATATTCCCAAACAAACCAGACAGCTAAAACATAATATACCCAAACAAACCAGACAGCTAAAACATAATATTCCCAAACAAACCAGACAGCTAAAACATAATATTCCCAAACAAACCAAACAGCTAAAACATAATATTCCCAAACAAACCAGACAACTAAACATAATATTCCCAAACAAACTAGACAGCTAAAACATAATATTCCCAAACAAACCAGACAGTTAAAACATAATATTCCCAAACAAACCAGACAGCTAAAACATAATATTCCCAAACAAACCAGACAGCTAAAACATAATATTCCCAAACAAACCAGACAGCTAAAACATAATATACCCAAACAAACCAGACAGCTAAAACATAATATTCCCAAACAAACCAGACAGCTAAAACATAATATTCCCAAACAAACTAGACAGCTAAAACATAATATTCCCAAACAAACCAGATCAAACGCCATAGAAACATTAGAAATTAATAATGGTGAACTATGATCAATATTAATGTTTTTATTATAACTATGGTAACTACTTATTAAATATCATAACAACTAATATATTGATTGATTATTATAAAAAAAAATTCAAATTAAGATAGCTTGCCAGGCAAGATAATATGCACCCACTGGCAGCTTTGATTTTGAATAAAAATATTTAGCAGTACAGTAACAATCACCAGTATGAAATATTCAACCTTCAGTCATACACTTCTTTTGAACTCTTTAGGGCGATACTGAATAATATTGAGTATGAGTTATTGCCCTTGTTCTTGAAAACGTGTTCAATTTTTAGCTTGTGAAAACTTTAGAAGGCAAATATTCAATCTTCAGCGCAGGACTGAATGATAAAACCAAGTTTTGTCAAAATCCAGCAAGAATCATGCCTTTTAGTGTTTAAGATCTTCATAATGATATTGACACACAAAATAAAAAATCAAAAGAATCCTGTAGAGTGAGCACGAACCAAATGTGAACGGACGGACGGACGGACGGACTGACGGACCGACCGACAGGGTGATTACAATAAACGCCCATTTTATGTGTGGGCGTACAAAAATGGAAATGAAATCCTACTTTACTATACCTGAATGGAGTAAGCAATGAGGGAAATTTTGCCAGGACAGTTTAAATATAACTGGTATAAATTCCAACAGGCAAGATATCTATAATGTGCTCAGTATATACAGCACACAAGGCAGAGCAAATTTGTCAACGTTTAAATGTGATTTTAAGGCTTTGGTGAAATATTATAACCTTTATCGAAATTTACTTCATTGCCGCCATAGACACATTTTCCATGTCAGACCTGCAACCTGATACGAAACTACGTAGGGTTCTTGAATGAAATAACACACACGAACGTAGTTAACAACCATTTTGAATCACTACCAAATTTCGATAAAGGTTATAGTATTTCACCAAAGCCTTAAAATCACAAAAAAGGCTAAGAAACTTGCTTTAAATATGATTTAAAGGCATTTTGAAAAATGTTGCTTTTTAAAAATTTGAGGTGAAGATTCAAAATGATATATAGTTTCATATGTTCCGACCTGACTGAGGGAGAAGTCAGTGATTCTGACAGTCAGGTCCTTAGTAAATCAAGATTTAGAAATAACAGACAGCTACTCACTTGTTCAATTCCAGAGTTGTTAAATCAATTTCCGCTCCACCCATGGGGTCGTCATGTAAACCTCGATCATAATCGAAAACTTTCATCTGTAGAGGTTTTGAAATGTCGTCTATGGCAACTGTGAAGGAATCTTCCCAGCGAGGGTTCAGATTTTTATAAACAGTTCGACTCTTGTAAACTTGTTTCCCGTTATATTTAAATTTAACATATGGGTCGCTTGTTCCTGAAAAATATTAACGCAAACATACAATATATATTAAAAAGATAGTAAAGAGGATTTTGAATCTTTTTATGTGTATTGGGGTCATTTGTGGGCTTCCCTTGAGAATTCTGTGGCCCCTACTTTACTTCCCTTCCCAATTATTACCTAGAAACAATAAATTTAAGAGATTTTCAAGTCTTTGGAGGATTTTGAAATACTTGTGTGAACACAACAAGGTCACACTTGGCCAAATCTTTAGGCAATGATCTCTTCTTATTTCTCCGTATCCATTTGAGGAAATGAGGAAAGATGATTTATTCAGTACCCATTTACACCTTAGTGAAATGGAATATTGAGGGGAAATAACTTATTCAATCAAGGTCACTGAGAAGAAGCAGACGTCAACTTACCACAGCTGTCTCTGACCACCAGTTCTCTCCCTTCCTGTAACCGAACCTCCAACATAAAAAATACATGTTGACTCGTCACGTGTTGTCTCAAGCGGGTGGAACTTTCCTGAAAATATAAAAAGTTCACAAAATGAAATGAAATGAAATGAATGGAGTTTTACGTCCTACTTTTCTGCACCATGTGGGCTAATGAAGACGGTACTTTTAGGTCAAGTTTGGATAGAAAACAAACTTTCGTTTGGATTAATGTGATATCATTCAATGAATCTTACATCCTAATGTGTAATGCTATCATATATTTAGTGTATATGAACAATGCAAGGGCATGCATCCTGAATACCTAAGGACACCCTGCAAGTCAACTTGGCATCCCTTTCAGACAATCAACAAAGCTAGTATTTTTTCATAAACAGAAGTATAAAAATAATTAGCTTCAGAAAGATAGACAAGTGTTTCTGTCAGTTGATTGGCAATATCTAGAAGTTGATTGAGCCCATTTTCCAACTCTCTAATAATATTCAAACATTTCCTCATCATTCCAGGCAAAAGATTACAACAATGATATCCAAGGGTATCTAGAAAATACCTGAGGGTGAAGCTAATGAATGAGAGGTGTCTGTGATAAATATTTTGACAGTTGTCGACTGGTGTAGATTTAGATTTTTCTGTTTATATTTGACCTTATCTATTATAATAATATTGTATGTTTTTGTCTCAATAAGCGTTAAAATACCAGCTAGAATATTTAACACTTTTAAATTATCTAACAATATTCTGTGAGACCTTATCCATCATGATATTAAACCTTGTGATAAGTTATCCATCATGATATTATACCTTGTGATAAGTTATCCACCATGATATTATACCTTGTGATAAGTTATCCATCATGATATTATACCTTGTGATAAGTTATCCATCATGATATTATACCTTGTGATAAGTTATCTATCATGATATTATACCTTGTGATAAGTTATCCATCATGATATTATACCTTGTGATAAGTTATCCACCATGATATTATACCTTGTGATAAGTTATCCATCATGATATTATACCTTGTGATAAGTTATCCACCATGATATTATACCTTGTGATAAGTTATCCACCATGATATTATACCTTTTGTGTTAAGTTTTGTGTTAAGCGTAAAGTGTTAAGATAACAGCTAGAATATGTAAGACATTAAAATTTTCTCACGTTATTTCCGAATTAATGATGTCTGATATCGAAAACTCAGGAGAATTTATCACGTTTAAACATGCGATATTTAGTTTTCTAGACTCCCGTCATTTCATATCAGCCAATAAATTCACCACTTCCAATTTAAGCACTTGCGAAAATGTGAAAACAAAATTTGTCCAATATCGTTAACCTAATCAGTGATTTTTCAGTTTCTGTTTGAATTTATTTATCATGTGTTAAATTAAATATCGGGGGAATTCATCATGTTTAAAAATGTAATATTTAGTGAGTTATATAGACTCATGTCATTTCATATTAGAAATTAATTCACCGTTTTCTATTAAACAATTTCCAAGGTGAATACAGTCCTTAAAGTTATGGGACCTTATATTCCATCAACATCATCTCTGATTTTAAGCGAAGGAATGTAAAGCTACTGTTTATAAGATATATAGAAATAGGCCTAGGTAAGGAATCACAAGATATATAGATATACTATTTCTAATATTTATTAATTCAACGTTTCACATGTTCATACAGACAGCGTTATCAAATATTATATAGAATCACTAGATATATGGATATACTTTTTCTAATATTTATTAATTCAACGTTTCACATGTTCATACAGACAGTGTTATCAAATATTATATAGAATCACTAGATATATGGATATACTTTTTCTAATATTTATTAATTCAACGTTTCACATGTTCATACAGGCAGCGTTATCAAATATTATAAAGAATCACTAGATATATAGATATACTATTTCTAATATTTATTAATTCAACGTTTCACATGTTCATACAGACAGTGTAATATAAAGCTAGATGATGTGGAACTAGAAATCGCTGGTTTGTTAGTTTGAATCAAAAATTATCATCAAGAGGTTAAATTAAACAATGTTGTAGAGATTTCAGCAGCCTTTTTAAAACAGACTATTAGGATATTTTCAAATACAAAAAATCGATAGAGAAATTACTGCAACATTTATATTCCAACAGTTTTATGAGTGAAATTATCTGGAAAATAGAATTTAAAACTGAAATACGCAATAGTTTTATGAGGGAATGAATATATCTGAAACCTAAACTTTGAAATTGAATATGACAACGGCTCTATTTAACCTTCAAACCAATAAGAAAATTGATTTAGGGTAAAGAGCTTGAGAATTCATTTATCTTGGTCAGAGTAATCAGCTATATATTACAGACAAACCTCCCGAGACTTTGTGGTTCGATATTATCTCTTCTAGATATAGTTAAGTGATAGGGATAAAACCAGTCATGTCTGACTAGAGTGTATGTTTGTGTTTTTTTTTATACAAAACCTTTGTCTGTCAGGAGTTTGTGGTTCAATTATACAAACTATTATTAGGCTACAGGGATGTATATCTCGTTCAATTGCCAGACATGTCTGACTAGAGTTTGTTGCTCTATTATTCTAAATATTGTCAGCCCAAAGGGATATAGATTTCATAAAATAACCAGTCATGTCTCACAAGAGTTTGATATCATTTATTTTAGACATCAATAGCCTATAGGAAAATAGATCGGATACCATTGCCAGTCATGTCTGACTGAGTGGTTTCAACATAAATAATTCTAAACATGTTTAGCCCTAAAGGGATAGAGAAATCATGGAATAGCCAATCACATCTATTGAAATGAAATGAGTTTTCAAAATTCCTAGTTTAAAGTATTTTAAAAGGAATTATGCAATTTTTATACATTTCAAGTACTTCTGAAGACTATTTACATATATTCAAGACTAAAATCAACACCCAAAATGGCAAACCAAGGCCCTACCCCGACAATCAAAAATCCCTTTAACAACCTTGTATTGTTCTTCAATATTTTTATGACTTGGCCTAAATATATCTTAATATGGAAATGATCCAATTCTCAAGTGATTTTTACTGTCAGACCTCATTAACTTCCTTTCATTAACAAGTTCTAAACTAGAGTTAATTCCCTTGCTGCTATAATTCTTACTTCCGTTGATTATTATCACGAATAAACTCAGAATAAATATAACCAAGTACTAACGATCCCAACTACAAAACGAAACCCAAAATCCCAAAGAAAATTATAATATTATACCTTTTTGTCTCTATAGGAGATAAAATACCAGTAAGAATATTTATAAAGTTAAAATTTTGTCACTTTATTCCAAATTTAATGATGTCTAGTATCGACTCCTTGGGAGAATAGAGAGAATTTATTACATTTTAACATGCTAGCCCCTCTCTCTTAGAGCCATATATTATTACATATAAATATGTAAACTACTATATCGATGTATATTAATCTTATTTACACAGTAGGTATTAATTATCATAGTGGATTTTACTCTAATTACCAGTAATTACTTATAGACCTACTTTATGTTAGGAAAATAACGCAAATAGAGTTTCTCTGAAAGGCATAATTAACTAAAATGGAGAAACGCTCAGCTGGTTTGTATCTTATTGAGCTAATGAATTTAAATGTAGTTTTATATCCTTCCTTCCATTTTTTGTATCTTACTGGAATAATGAAATGAAATAGAGTTTTATATCCTACTGTTCTGTATCTTATTGGAATAATGAAATGAAATAGAGTTTTATATCCCACTGTTCTGTATCTCATTGGACTAATGAAATGAAATTGTTTTATATCCTACTGTTCTGTATCTTATTGGGAAATGAAATGAAATAGAGTTTTATATCCTACTGTTCTGTACCTTATTGAACTAATGAAATGAAATGGAGTTTTATATCCTACTGTTCTGTATCTTATTGGGCAAATGAAATGAAATGGAGTTTTATATTCTACTGTTCTGTATCTTATTGGGCAAATGAAATGAAATAGAGTTTTATATCCTACTGTTCTGTACCTTATTGAACTAATGAAATGAAATGGAGTTTTATATCCTACTGTTCTGTATCTTATTGGGCAAATGAAATGAAATGGAGTTTTATATTCTACTGTTCTGTATCTTATTGGGCAAATAAAATGAAATAGAGTTTTATATCCTACTGTTCTGTATCTTATTGGGCAAATAAAATGAAATGGAGTTTTATATCCTACTGTTCTGTATCCTATTGGTCTAATGAAATGAAATGGAGTTTTATATTCTACTGTTCTGTATCTTATTGGGCAAATGAAATGAAATAGAGTTTTATATCCTACTGTTCTGTATCTTACTGGACTAATGAAATTAAATAGAGTTTTATATCCTACTGTTCTGTATCTTATTGGACTAATGAAATGAAATAGAGTTTTATATCCTACTGTTCTGTACCTTATTGGACAAATGAAATGAAATAGAGTTTTATATCATACTGTTCTGTATCTTATTGGACTAATGAAATGAAATAGAGTAATATATCATACTGTTTATAAATAATAAATATTTTATTTAACATTCCATTGTTATCTGTATCATAAAGCACTAATGAATTAAACATGGAGCCTTACATATCTATTAACACAAACATGGAATATCAATTTTACTAAGGTTTCCAGCTGCTGAGCTTTAAACTGAGCGTACTACCAATAAAAATAAAAATCTGTACCAGCAAGACGATTCTGTTAATCAAAATCTCGTCCAAAGTATTGCAAAATCTGGAGTAAAAGTAAATGTGTGACCAAACCACTCTTGTGTGTTTTTTTAAAAACCATAAGGAATTTGGGTATAACATGACCTGAATCAATCACTAAATTAAAATAAACTTGGTGGAACAAATAGAAGTTTTCGATTTTGATTACCGTGGAGACACAAATTTGTCTGTTCCATAACAACCACCTACAAAATTTACTTTGAGGGGTATTTACCACAAAAAATTGATTCTCAAAACACAAAAAACTTCAAATTGGAAGATTTCTAAAGAAGTTATACTACATATTCCCTAATCTTGTATTT